CCTACAGGGTCTCATTACACAGATCAAACTCAGTGATTTTCCTGTTCTCAGCCTCCCAAGCACTGGGAATACATCCAGTCTCAATTGATGTCTCAGCGCTCCCTGGGGGCGGGGCCAGCATGGCACACTGTGGGATTGAACCCCACCCCCTGCGTCTGCCTAAGCAGGTGCTTTAATCTGCTGAACTATCTGGCCAGCCCTTAATACATTTCTAATTAAAAATGTTTTTACTGTGTATCCCAATATTTGCACATTTGTTTCACTAAGAACACATGCATGGATCCATGAACAATCACTAGGTAAGTTATAAAGCAGAAGTGTGGAATTTTAAAACTGAAATGAAGGTAAAATAAACACTTTTAAAGTCTCTTCCTAGTTGTAATGACTTCCTACTTTCAGTAGTTAAAATATCAAAGCATAATGTATGTGGCGAGTCACATTGCTCATTAATAAATAAGACTATTTTGAATATCCCTCATGAGAGTTTCAATTATTTTTGGCTGACAGCACTTACATCTGAGCAGATCATCATGATTTTAACCTTTTGAGAAGCGCTGGAGAGGAGAGTGTGTTGTGTTTTCTTGTGCTTGCTTTGCCAGTGATTTTGACAAGGGGCTATTTTTGAAGCCATGTGTCTGTCTGGTGATGGTTAATACTGTTGAAAGTAGACAGTTTAATCTGTACGTCCATTTTGAGGGGTACGTACATCTGTAAAACAGACCAGATATCCCAACGAGGGTGGTGCCAGCACCTTAATTCAAGGTTCCTGTCATCTGATGCAGGTGTTCCACATATAGATGTTAACATCAATTGATGTCATTTAATTGATTTCTCATTTTTAATAACTGGAGAACATACACCTAAGTCCTAGCATTTCCTTTTCCATGCCAAATCTTCATGCTTTGGAGACTCCTTATCCAGCAAGTGGAGGTCTCTAAGAATCCTTATCTCTACTGCATGTTTGGGGAATGGTGGCCTTGGAGAAAAGTGGCCTTGGGCTTTGAAGCTGGGATTTCATAATTTTGAGCATTCAAGAGCAGCTCAGGGCATCTGCAGATGGCAGTGCTGTCTAAGTTCATGGTGGCCATTGTGACTCCTTCCTTTACTATCTTCTTGAAGGCTGAAATATTTTGGAATTTTGGGGTAAACCCTTGGGAACTATGATGAAAGCTATGACTTCCTACTCAAGAAAAATGCACAAACAAATTTTCCATTCAATTACAGAGGAATTCAGCGATCCCTTGAAGCTCAGGATGAAGAACCTGTTTAGAAGTGAAAAAGGCAAGTTAGGTTTGGAAGGCCCCTGTCCTTTGTCTCACAACTTCCCTTCCCTGCAGCTCCCTTGAGTTTCAGACCCTGCTTGCTGCACAGAGGTAGGAAGGAGCTGGAACTTTGATTTCAAAGATATGCAGGACTGCAACTCCACTCAGTCTTTCCACTGATTAGCTGAGTTAACCGGGGAAGTTTGTCACTCCCTAAAATGACTTATGATAATCCACACCTTTTAATTTGCCCTCTTTCAGCTTTATTGGCCTTCTTGCTTATTCTTGAAATATCTAACCTCTTTCCTGCCTCAGGGCCTTTGCACTTCCTATTTGTCATGCCTGGAATGTTCATTACCCCATCTCCACGCGTGTTAGCTTCCTGTCACTATCAGAAATGCCTGAAACCATCAACTTTTGCAGAGAAAAAGGTCATTTGGGCTCACATTTGTGAAGGTTTTAGTCCATGAACAGCTGGCCCAGCTATGTGTGAGCTGTGGAAGGCAGCACATTTTGGTAGAAGCATATAATGAATCAAAGCCACTCATTTCATGGCCAGGGAAACAAAACAAGAGAGAAAGAGACCAGGCTTCCTAATCCTCTCCAAGGCCATGTCACTCCATGGCCCAAAGATCTCCCTCTGGCCTGCACCTCCAGAAGGTGCCACCACCCTCAAATGTGCCAAGTGGGGGACAAGGGCTTTAACACACGGACCTTGGGTAGACACCCCAGACCCAAACTAACATCCCAAGACCAGTTCCTTCTAATTTCTCTCTCAAATGTTATCACTTCATGGAATCTTTTTCTGACCACAGCATCTCTATTTAGAAGTTTTAAAAATATGATTCAGTGATTTTTATTATATTCACAACATTGTGCACTCAGCATCGCTATTTGCCTCCAATCTACTATCTAATTTTAATAATGTTTCATCACCCTAAAAAAGAACCTCCTCATATCTATTAGCAGTCACTTCCCATCCCTGCCTCCCACCCCCAGCCTCTGACAACTTCCACCACACTTTCTCTCTTTACAGAACTGCACATTCTAGATATTTGCTATACATAGAATCATACTATGGGGTATGATAAAAATATGGTTAATGTTTAAATTAAAAAATTCATTACAGTAAGAGCCACATTGCCATTAGTCTCCCTCAAAATACTCCCTCATATTGCTCTGCCATTTTCTGAAATAGTTCTAGAGGTCCTTTGTTGGTGTCACAAAAAGCTGTGCTCTTGCGGCTGCCTCAATTTATTGAAGCTAACTCAAAATATTCACTTTGTGTGGCCATTTTGGTTTTATCCAGAAGTCCCATGATGCCAGATCCAGTGAATGAAGTGGATGAAAACACATTGTAATATTATTATCAGATGCTCCTGGGTAGCAGTCTTCACCATAGTTTTGATCACACCCTGTGAAGACACCCAGGAAGGTGAACTTGTAGAATTTCTTCAGGAAGTGGCAAGACAACAGAATAGGCATGACCCAAGCAAGTGAGAGTATTTTTAGGGGAAGTAATGGCAATGTGTCACTTAGTGTAATAAATTTTTAAATTTAAATGTTCATTGTATATTTTGATCATGCTCCATTATGCAGCTTTTTGTGTCTTGCTTCTTTTACTTGGTACAATGTTTTCAAGTTCCATTTATATGGTAGCTGGTGTCAAGGATTCATTCATTTTCACGACTGAATAATATCCCATTTCATAATGTTCCTTTTGTGATCATTCATGTTAATGGAGATTTGGATTGTTTTTACTTTTTGATGTTGTGAAAAATGCTGCTTATGCATAAGTCTTTCTTGACTGCATTACTCTTTGTTTGCTTGTTTATTTCCATCCCTGGTTTATTTATTTAACTTGTTTATTTTTTATTCTCTCCCATAGAATATAAGCTCCAGGAAGGCAGCGACCTCGTTCATCTGTTGTGCCCTGCTGTATCCCTGGGCCTTGTATCATACACAGCACATAGTAGACAATAAATACTTGTGGAATGAACAACTGATTGAACTGTTTTATTCTCCATTTCTTGGTGGACTCTTTTTTTTCTCCAACTCATGTGGGACTCTTACTGTGCTCTCCTAGGTTTCTTTCACCCCTGAGACTTCTCACCAGCTGTGGTTCTTGCCCTACAATATTATTGCACCATGGTTAAGAATGCCCTGAAGTACAGGACCTCTACTGTCCTAGCATAGTCTCAAACTTGTATATACAGCAGTCACACCTGGAGGGTTTAGGAAGATGCCCTTCATGGGCCCTGGGCATCTTCTGGGGTTTCTGACTCAGTGGTTCTCCATGGATAGAGAAATTTCCATCAAGTTCCTGGAGCTGCAGATGCCACTGGTTCACAGCCCATGGTGTGATTCACTGCTATAGTGGGGTGGATTTCTTCAGAGAGGCTGGGGCTGCAAAGCTCATAGGTGGTTTGTCTGAGGCTCCCCCCAAAGAGTTCATTTTTCTTCTCTGTCTTCCTATATGTGGATTCAGAGGGTGCTGGTTCACTGGGGACATCTAGGTATAATCTAAAATATGGCAGGATCACTTGTGGGTACATAGCCTGGGAAAATTACTCTCTGATTGAAGAGGAGTCCTGTAAACTGGTGTGTGGTCACAGGGTTCAGGGAAGTGTTGACCCTTCTAGATGCCCATAGTCAGGGAAGTGATAAGCAGAGCTGATGGTCTACAGGATTGTAATGAAGCAGCTGATGTTTGTAGCTGGCATCCATTCTGATTGGGTGGTCCATCCACCTTACTAGTTGTTGCATGTGGAGACTGTCATCTTTGCAGGTGAGTGAAATTTTGGAACTGCATACAAGATACTATGCAGTAGTTTTGAGAGATGAAAGAAATTCACATTCAGAAACATAACTGAGTCTCATATTGCATAAACAACAGAAGAAACACCCAGGTATATGGTTTAAAACACCATTTACGTAAAGCAAAGGATAATAATATCTACCATGTCATATACCTTTTAAGGACATTAATATGTTTAAACACATGATAAAGGCTAACATGGAACAATCTATTGATGAGCCTGATCTTACGTTGTGTTACCTGTTTGACGATTGCCTTTCTCTGTTTTATATGCAAACAATGAACTAGTAAGCTTACATCTAATTGTGAAGGTCATTGTTACAGTTTGAATTTTGTTTCCTTCTTAAAAACAAAAATAACAGATTAGTTCAAATTGTTGTACCACAACTTTCTAGCAGTGTGACTTTGAGCAGGTTTATTCACCCATATGAGCCTTTGTTTTCTCATCTGTAAACAAGTAATAATTTTTATGAAGTGTTTGCTTTGTTAAGACGTAATATGATTAGCATAGTGACTGGTTTATAGTAAGTACTCACCAAATGTTAGCTGCTGCTACTAATGTTTGGCCATTGCTATACATGAAGTATTGGCTTCCGTGTTAGACATAGAGGAAGAACTTAATCTGTGGAGAAAAGATACATATATTTGTCATTAACCCAGTTTATAGGGTAGACAATACTGTTATCACATAGCTGTTGTGACGAGATTATGAATGAGTCTATGTGAAGTCATTATGTAATCTGTGATTGAAATATTTTTGTTTATTGATTATCTGTGTTTTTCTGTCCTACTCTCACATGGAATAAGGCCTCCATGGGGGAAATGACTTTGTCTTTTGTGCACAAGGACACTGCTTAGCCCATGGCAGGTGCACGCTATTGTGCTTAGATTTGACAGATTCCAATTCTTTCTCCTTTCAGGGCACTTGCAGATGTCATGCGGCCACAGGGCCACTGCAACACTGATCACATGGAGAGAGACCTTAACATTGTTGTTCATGTCCAGCACTATGAGAACATGGACACGAGAGCCCCCATAAACAATCTACGTAAGTACAGCTCTGGGGATCATTTCTAGTCCCACATGGTGACATGTACAGTGGGTACTTGGAAAAATTTCATGGTGTATGTTTGAGTCAGTTAAAAGCTTCTTCCTGTGGATGAGTTAGATATTTTATTTTCTCTTTTCTATATGAGACTGAGGTTGGCATGATCAGATTTCATGTGGTTGTTTTCTGTGAAGTAAGGATCTTCTTTGTTGATTTATGTTTGGCTTTTCTGTTAACTAGAAGACAACTTGATCAATCTATTAACTTATGGCCCTCTTGGTTTGTTAATTGTGGTTGGGTACTCAGTCCTAGCTTTATTTTGTTGGTTTATTTTGATCATCACCTGTTAGACAATGGTCCATTAACTTAATCATCTGACTCCTGAGGTAGACCAGTTGATACTTTTAAGATTCAGGCTGTTTTCAATGAAATACAAATTCAAAAGATTAAAACTACAGTTTTATAAAAACAATGCACAAAACACTGTGTGTGTGTGTGTGTGTGTGTGTGTGTGTGTGTGTGTGTGTGTAGGGGGGCAGGTATTGACTTGTGGTCTTGATGGTTTCGAATAAGCATGCAGGATTCAGCAGTAGCAAATTTGGTTCCATTATTCTGCCAGTGGGGAAAGAGCTGCTTGCTTTCCTTTTTTTTTTTTTTTTCAGAATTGGGGATTGAACTCAGGCCCTTGTACTTGCCAGGGAAGCGCTTATTCTACTGAGCCATCTCCCTGGCCCCAAAGAGCTGCTTTTACTACTGCTTTTCAATAGGTATTTTTAAGCAGCCAGAGCATATATGAGGATCTTGGTGTACTCCCAAAGATTTTTTCCTCCTTCAAAGATCTGTATACACAACATACATTGTGGAGCTAATGTTCTGACTAATGAGCCTAATAGGAATGGAAGAAAAATAAGATTGTTTTGGTTTTGACAATTGAATACTGCTGTGGTTATTCCTAGTAATTATGTTTTCAAGTAACCCCCACATTAAACTAATATGGAGGGCTTGGGTTAAAATAACAAAAGCCAGACAACTCAGAAGATGCATTTAGTTGTGGCTGGAGGTTCCTGAAAACAGAGAATGCTTTGGTACTGTACATCTTATTCTGGGTGTCCTTTGCTGAAGCTCCGCTGGAAGTCGCATGATTGTTTTATTTGCTGAATCATAGTCTTGACTGTGTGGTAGCAAATTTTTATGATCAACAGGTCTAGGAAAAAGCCTGTAGAATTTAACATAGGTGATGAGAATCCTCTGATTTTGTGTGGTGATAATATTTTGTGGTTTTAGAAACTGTTGTATGTTAGCAAAGTCAGGATTTATATGGGTTGAAAAATGGACCACCAAATAGGATATTTTCATTGTATTATATTAAATAAGTTGGCATTATTTATCTATGAATCAGACCATAAATGTATCAGAAATATCCACATTTTGGAGCAAACTACATAAGCAACTGGAGGTTTATAACCAAATCCACCATTCCAAAAGCTATAAATGACACCAAGTCTAACATGACAATTGCTGTGTTCAGTTTGTTTTCTTAATTTATTTAGTACAGGGTCTACAGGGTCTCAGTAAACAGCTTGGACTTGTAGTGATCCTCCTGTTTTTAGTCTCCCAAGCACTGGGATTACAGGTGTATCACTATGCCCAGTCTCAATCACATTTCAGCCTGCCCCAGGGGTGGGGGTGGGAATGGCACCGCATGCCAGGGATCGAACCCTAGTCCCTGCTTCTGCCTCAGCAGGCACTTTAATCTGCTGAGCTATCTGGAAGGCCCTCAGGTTTGTTTGCTTGTTTGTTTGGGTTTTTTTTGGGTTTTTTTTGGTGGAACTGGGGATTGAACTCAGGCCCTTGTGCTTGCCAGGGAAGCACTTACTCCACTGAGCCATCTCCCTGGCCCCTTCAGGTTTGGTTTTGATGGAAATGAATACATACTCTTTCAGGCAACACTGAAAGTAAGTTGAATATAGCTGTATGTGGGTTCCGAATATAAGTGAGTGAACACAGTTATGGAGCAGAGATGTTGACATGACAGTGAGCTCTTGGCTATTGAAAGTGGCTGTTCGTAAGGTTCTCACTTGAAGTTTTAATCTCTCGATGATTTTGAATCATGTCGAATGGAATAACAGATTCATTGAAGTTACCCAAGTCTCGTCATTCCATCAGGCAAAAGGTCAGGGAGACATTAATGAATACAGCTTAAAGAGGGGACTTTTGTTTAAACTTGGGCTGAAAATAAATTACTGCTCAGAGATGGATGTCTAGATAGTAATTCACATGTATCTGGTGGCAGACTATCTTGATTTATTTGTGAGTTTTGGCTTTGGTCTACATTTGTGCCTTGATAATTTGTGATCTTTTGTACAAAGGTATAAGGTGTCTTGTAATAGTCTTCTGAGTGGAACTGTACTGAAACATTCCTGGTTAATCTCAGGGAGTAATGTCACACAGTGTGTTCTTGTAGAAATTGCTCTAGCTGCTAGTCTTATATAATCTTGTCACATTCATCCAGTCCTTTTTTCGTAGCATTTTTGAGATTATCTGAATTAAAAATAAGAAACACATTTCATAGATTTACATTATTAAGTTTAATATATATAGTGTATCAATGCAGTAGTTAAGAGTAATGATAGGGGTTTTTTTTGTAATGACTTGTCTTTGTATTGATTTATGTATTATAGACAGAAAAACATTTATATTAGTTCTTTAACTTCTTAATACTGACACTAGTCCACTTTCTGATCTTTCTTTTATGTTTGATTCAGATGATAAGAGAACTAACATCTAATGTAGAAAACTAGGTGTTTGGAAGTAGGGGAGGGGGACTGAGAATAGCTTGGGCAAGAGGCAAAGCAGGAAGAAAGAGCTCCCATTTGGGGTAATTTTTATCAGCCTTTTTAAGTAAATTTTTGGAGTTGATTTTTCTTATGATGTGCAAGACTTGCCTTTTTAATCTAAAGATGGATTTTTCTTCAGTTGATGCTGTTCGTGTTCTTTCCAGGCATTCAGCAATATTGCCTAAAAATATTTAGGCTGATAATCAAAAGGACCTCGACCTCTTTGATTAACAGGATGCAGATTCCAGTGAGATAGTGATTTTCTGAAAAATGCTCCTCAGCTTCTGTGTAATTATAGTTTGCTTTTGATGGCACATTTTGTCCTTAAGTTCCATGAACACACTTTGCCTCTCCCACCCCAACTTCCATTCGGTCTTCAGGATAGGAGATGTGGGTGAGGAGCTATGAATAAAACCTGAGCCAGTGTTTTTGAACTTGTGTTATCACAACTTATGAAGTAAAACTTTGCTTTGGAATAATATTTTATTGTCTATGGCCATCCACTCTGAACACGCCCAATCTCATCTGGAATAATATTTATTTAAACAAAAGTTGCTAAGATTGTACACAGAGCAGTGTACTCCTTATCCATTTTCCCTTATTGTTAACATCTTACATAGGGCATTTGGCAGAATTAGGAAATCAGCACTAGTAAATTCTTTTTAGCTAACTATAGACATGATGGTTCCAGGGAGATAGCTCAGTAGAATAAATGCTTTCCTGGCAAGTGCAGGGTTTTGAGTTCAATTCTGGTACTGAAAAAAAAAAAAAAAGACATGGTTTGAATTTCACTAGTTTCTTCAATCATATCCCTTTCTGTTCCAGGGTCAAATCTGGTGCACTATGCTGTCTTTGACATCTTGGAATGGTAGAATTTAGGTTGCATAATATAGTAGTATAATGATGTGGTAAAGGTAGAAAAAAATTCACTGGGGAAATCTATTGGCAGAGTACGAGAATTGTCCCCCAGCATCTATAAGAACATAAAGTTATTTACCTGGTCGATATTGGAGTTGGACCCATTACTGGCTTGACATACTGTGTTCTGGTACATATTAGCAGACAGAATACTTCTATTTCTCTGCACACATGCAACAAAACTTTGGCATTTGGTTGATGTCTCATTATTTTATAACATGAGCAAGTGAGATCTCCCCCAAACTAAGGGCAAGTGCTAACTTGATGTTTTGGGTTGCAGAATGCGTTAGAAAGAGCAGACTTCTATATTCCAACCTTCTTCCCTACTCCCCTGGGATGATTTTTAAGTAAATTTACAAGAAATAAAAAAATGAGATCGCTCACTGAATTTCAGAAGAGTTAGTGAAGCTCACACTGAGGTCTATTCACTTGTCTGTATTCACCACGGTGCCAGAGATGTCACACTCGATTTTTGGAAATGCCAGTAGGGGTCTTTCCCAATATGTTTAGAAAGTTGGGGAAATTTCCTACCCGTGAAAGGCAAAAAGCTAAATATAGATATCAGAGTTCATAAAAATAGAAAATGTCTGAAGTAGTATAATATTAAGCGACTTGTATGGATAGCATTGTAAAGCCTCAACAGAAGAAATCCTCGAAACCTATTGTTTTACCATCATAAAGATGGGGAAACTGAGGCTCAAAGAAGTTCAGTGGGCTGCCTAAAGTTTGTATAGATACAAATTGGTAGAACTGGAATTTAAGCTGACAGGTCAGTCAGACCCCAAGATCTGTGATGTTAATCAGTGCAGTATATGTCCTAGCTTGTGGTGCAGGTGTTTGCTGCAAGTGTGTATCTCCTCCTGAAGCAGGTATTATTGATGCCTATGATAAGTGAATGGAAGCATCCATTGAGACTCTAGGAAAGAGATCTGCTTCCAAAGTGTGCATCTGACTTAACCTGTCAGAGTCTTATTCTAGGAGGACTAGCATTTATTGAGCATGGGCTGTGTAGCAGGCACTGGGCTAAATGCTTTGGAAGTATTGGCTGATTTAGTACTTAGGACTCCTCTCATGTAGCTAGTTTTGTTTCTGCCCATGTCATGAGGCTCCCAAGCTTTGGTAAATCTGGCTTCCTCCTTTGCACTTCTTACCCAGATTGATATCTCCTTAGAGAGGCCCTCCTTGCTTATCGCTGTCCCCCAAGTCAACAGTGATTCTCCATTTCCATACATTTTCTTTATAGTA